GCATTCCTGGGCTGAGAGGTCATTTCTTTCCGCGGGAGTCAGCACCCTGCTCTGATGGGCCGTGCCTCTGGGTCTTCGTCTCCTGCATGTGTGGGAAGGAGGGGGAGCCTGCCCTGTGTTGGCCTCCAGATTCCCCGTCCCTTTCATGGCAGCCGGGTGTTCCCCAACAAGGAGGCCATGCTCGATGCTGCCTTCGCCCTGGCGGCTGAGATTTCCAGCAAGAGCCCAGTGGCCGTGCAGGGCACCAAAGTCAACCTCGTCTACGCTCGTGACCATTCGGTGGCCGAGGGTCTCAAATACATGGTGAGACATCCCTCTAGCCAATCACAACCCTTCCCTGATCCCAAGCAGCCAATCAGGGCTCAGGAGCTCTTGTCCTCTGATTGGTGCGCTGCGAAAGCCGCCACCCTGCCATTGTGCACCGCCCTCTTTATCTAGTCGACCTGGAACATGAGCATGCTGCAAACCGAAGACGTCGTGAAGTCTGTGCAGGCCTTAATGGAGAAAAAGGACCTGAAGGATGTCGCCTTCTCCAAGCTCTGAACGTCCTTATGGCCCTGGACCAGAGTTGGCACGGTCCCACTCCATACTTGGCCTTCCTCATCCGCAGAGCGGGAGGTTCGGCGAACATGGTAGTCTCAATGCTTCCTCACCGTCCCCCAGTTTACACCTTTATGAGGCTGATTTCATCAAGCCCAGTGCCTTATCTTCACCCCATGAACAATAAACAATGTAAAGAACTTGGTGCCTTTATTGGAGAGAGAGCCAGGGAGGGGCTGAGATACACCTGGGGCGGCAAAGCCCACTGTTAGAATGGTTGGGTAGCGATTAGACCAATGGGAGTACCAGGCATGCAAGTGTTGACCAATCAGACTGACCATGGGGGGTGAGGGCCAGTAGAAACACCAGGAATGCTAAAGTCAGCCAAAGTGGCTGGGCTCCCCCTGGACTAAATGGATGCAATGGGTCTCCCTGGGTCAGCCCTGTCTGGGCTGAGTTGTTTACCTTGCTCAGGCACCCTTCACCCCGCATCACAGTGAGGCTGGCTGGGTTCCACAGCTACCCAGTCTTCCCATTGCCTCTTCTTTTTTCTTTTCTTTTTAAAGAATTATCTATTTAACTTTATTCGTTCATTCATTTATTTTTAATTTGACCAGAGAGAGAGAGAAGGTGAGAAAGCAAGTCATCAGGTCTGGGACTTGAACTGTGGTTGGCCATGTGGAAGTATCCAAGCCACCCACTGGCCCTAACCTCTTCTTTTTTCTTAAGTTTATTTAATTTTTCTTCTATGAGCAAGAGAGACAGAGAAACAGTACCCCTCCAGGGGACCAGTTGTTAGTGTAATGGCTATGTCGCTGGACTCCCACGTAGTCGACCGCGGTTCAAGTTCCGGACCTGGTGGCTTGAAATTCACACTGGGCACGTGTGCATGCGTGCGTGCCCAAGATCCGGAGAGGAGAATGGAGGAGAAGGGATTGCAGCGTGACCATGCCCCCGGGGGGTGATTTCTTGCTTTCTGTCTCTCTGTCTGGCGAGCGCACGTGCCCTATAGTAAAAACCTCTAAAAAAAAAAAAAGAAAAGAAAAGAAACAGTACCCCTCCAGAGTTTTACTGTAGCCATCGACCCTGAACTGGGTCAGCCTGGGATCATGAGTACCTGCATATCTGGAGTACTCAGGTCTATGGCAAACCTAGAACCCTCCCGTGTGGGTGGGCCTTGCAGAGTCTCACTTTTTACCACTATGCCACCCTCTCGCCTTGTTTCTTTTTCTTTCTTTTTTTTTTTTTTTTTAAGAATTATTTTATGGGGGCCAGCAGGTGGTGTGGTGAGTAAGAGTGTTGGATTCCCACACGGCTGAACCTGGGTGGAGGCCCTGGACCG